AACAAATCACAGGAAGAAGAGGGATCCTCTGTCAACTACTGCGGCCAAAACACATTGAAAACCAGTCATCCAAGAAAAGCAAAACTCGTCTCATCACGCCGTCAGCTTACCTGAAATATTACGATGGAGTATTAGGGCCATGCAAAGAAATAAAAATAAATACAATTATGAGAATTTTACAAGAAGTCCTAAAATTACTGGAATAAAGTGATGACGTCATGAGAATAAAGTCATGAAATCATGGGAATAACTTTGTCCAAAAGTAAAGTTAATACAAAAATAAAGTAATAATGTTACAACTTACCGTAATTCTTAAAATATTATGACATTTTTTTCATAATTTTATTTTTATACATTTTATTAGTGTTGTATAATACTCTCCCAGATGGACTGCTGTCCTCTGCTAAGGTTTCTAAAAAAAATAACACAAAAAGCTTTTTCATGACTTTGTCATTCAAAAATGCATCTTAATATATTGGAAACTATCCATAAATGAGCTCCTCAAGCAGGCCTACCCTTATTGCAATAATTTAATGTTAAAATATTAAAATAATGTACTCCTATGTGTCTTTGCAGCTGAAGTGGAGAATGTGTTGTTTGCATCTCTGCATGAACAGAATACCACCTTTTTTATGTTTCCAAGATTTAAAAAAAACAGAAACCATCACAGTCACCTCTATCATACTTTGGTGAACTCAGCAAGGCGTCCTGCTAATCAAGACTTTTCCAACAAATCGGAGGTGTCACAAAGAGCAGAAGTGATTGTGTCAATTAAACAAAATCTAAATCTTCACGAAGGTTCTTTCTTTCCCCCATGTTCAGTCAAAATCACATGTATAAAAAATTTTTTATAAGATGAATTTCTAAATTAAAATGAATGAAACACTCCTTCAAAACTCGAGTTATCATCTCACTCTGCTGATGATAGAAGAAAATATATAATATGTGAAGAAAACAGTCTATTTTCCAACAAAGCACCTTTAAGGTAAGTTTTCGTAAACTAAAGCTTTAATTGGAGGACAGAGTGAGACATCGTTTAGGAGTCAAACTTTTAATCACAATTTAAATCTTGGCTATCTAACAAGTTGGCAAATGGTCTTTAAAGACATTAGAGGAGAGATTAAAAGCCAATAAGTGGACAAGTGCATTTGAAAAAGAAAATAAATATTAATGAATTCCCGTTTTAAGATATTACGAAGAGGTTTTCCAGCTTTATTCGTGTTACCTAATAGCATTCTCTATAAGTCGTGATGGAAACATGTCTGACTTAAGTTCTGACCTTTTAAGGACCATTACTTTTATATAAGGTGCTTTATCTTAATGTCAGAAATGCATTTTGTAATCACATTTCTTAAATAAAATATCAAAAAGGAATTTGCTGTTTTCAGGCTTTTCTCCAGACGCTCCAGCTTCCTGCCACAGTTTAAAATCATGACTGTAAACATAATAATATAGATACTCTATATATACTCTTAGAAAGACATCAAGCCTTATAAATATATATATTAGTCTTATAATGCTGGATCTCAGAGGTGCTAACAACATTCATTTATTTAGAGTTAACCCCTTTGAGCTTTTTTGAGCTATAAATCAGTCTGCTGCCAAGTTTTTCTAGAGGTTAAATACATAATTAAATTCTTGATTAATATGTTGTTGCTATGTTGTTGTACTGTGTTTTAAGATTTTGTTCAGAGTGCCTTTTCTAACCTTAAACCCTCACCCCAGCAAAGGTCTCTGCACGGCCCTGTTTATGTGAGTTTATTGGTTTGGAAAAAGTCTAACCCATTCAAAAAATAGATCTGTAATTTAATTTAGTTTCATAAAGAGGAATCAGAAGAAATTACGATGTGGATGTTTCACTATAAAGCTTGCATGAGTTGTGACAAGCTATGCATCTGAAATGACTGAAAAAACAAATCTGAACAACAGCCAACACCCATAATCGTGCTCCGTGTGCCCCAATCCTGCACAAACACACCCGTCGATTCCCAATTCTCTCACATGGAGGAGAGCAGATGCTGTGACCTTTTGCTGTTGGTCCCATCAGAGTGAAAAACAGAGCTGAGTGGAGGGAACGTCAGGCTGCAAATGGGCCTTTGGATTCTCATTGGGATTCAGGGAGCCAAACCCTTGTTTCTTTCTCTATATGTGAGCCCAAAACAAACGCACAGACCCGCTTCTCTGCGCCTCTCTCTGCATATTGATGCCATTATCCACAGCGCCATCTTGTGGGTATTTCAAACTCTCTCTCTCTGTCTAAATTGTTTTTTTTTTGGTCATTTTGGTCACTCTGCATCTTATATCTCCTTCTAAAACATCATATGTATTAGGAGACAGATGAAGATTTTAGTGTTTTTAGAGCAACACACCCTCACCGTCCTTCCCGCAGATCCACACACACACACACACACACACGCACACACACACACACACACACACACCCATCCAGCTCATGTAGATTAAAAACCCAATCCAATCCGATGTGTGCGTGCTCTGGCATGAAAACCGCTTCCCTGGGGTGTGAAAGTGGTGCAAACCCTCCGCCTGTGTTCTGATGCTGCCATCTGGATCACAGTGGGAAGCACCGGCTTTAAAAAACAGCTCCAGTAGACTCTTCTCATCAGCCGTTTGCACCTTTTATCCAGAAGGGATCAAGGCAAAGGATTTCAGCCAAACCATGTCCTGTTAATTAAGATTCGGAATTTTTTATTTTTTTTTTGCAACACTGCTAAATCCACTTTTCTTTCATATTCAGACACATTTGCAACCTTTCTCTGTTCATCTCAGGTTCTGTAGGTTCATTTCATAATGCACTCAGGTTCATGAATTTATTCTCTCAAGAGAGAAAATCACGTTGGTGGTTAACGTCGGTTCAGCAGTTTCTGTCCCTAAACATTAAAATAAAAACATAAATTACAATAAATAACTCTAAAGCTACAGAACTATCATACTTAAGTAATTTAGCATTATTTATCGAATGTTTATGTTCTGACGAAGTAAAAAAAATATTTTATTTGTCTCTTTAAGTCAAATCACTCGTTTCACTGGCACATTATTTCACTTATAACGAAAAGTTTCTCGATGACTTTTGACATAAATGTCTGATATTTGCACATGAAGGCAAGGAGCAATGCTGTTATCAATTTAAGGAATTATTGACTTAAACCATTTTCATACATTTTGCTGAAAAATAGCTCGTAAGTTAGTTTTGTCTTATAGAATACTAAGTTATTTGCGCAAGAAATTAGGTTAAAACAACGCTTGGCAAGAGTTCTGTTTTTACAGTGTAGAAATTCCTTTTTTACAAATATTTATCAATAATCAAGTGTGAATAGGCAATTAATAAGACCCAATATATTTGTAGCCAATGTATTATTTTCAGAAAAGACGCTAAAAACAAATTTCCAACTAATATAAACTAAGATGGATTACCATCAGTCCAAATGTATTTTTGAATCTGTAATGCTTTTCATTTCATCACAGTCCTGCACAGGTTTGCCACAGACCTCTTCTCATGCTTATTCCAGATGTATTGACCAGCTGGACTCTGTCAGTTTGCCATGGAGACAAGCAATCAGGAGGGCGATGGAGCACCGGTGACCTCAGATGTCAACTTTCTCCAGAAGTATGCAGCCGCAGAATACTGATAACGGCTCTGCAGCTCCATGATGGAGCCCAAAAAATCTGCACTCCACCTTCAGGTGTCCTCAAGATGGAAAGGACAGCGAGAAGTCCAGGAATAAGTTGGGGGTTTTTCTACATAAATGTTTGTTACCTGCACAGGAGAGCAAGAAACTGCTTAGCAGAACAATGCAATTCAGAAATAAAATGTAAATGGCGTAAACATTTTAAAATGGCATTGATTTTTCTTTTTTTTTTTGGTTTATGTCAAATAACTTCAGTTTGTTTATTTCCAACCTAAAGTAGGATTGTTAAAATTTAAGACTTTCATTTAAGTTGTTTGTAATTTCTTTTTTTTCTCAACAAATCTAAAAAAAGTTTGAAATAGAACAAAATGTAAATTATACTTCGCCTATCAAGTGTCATTCTCTGTAGAAGCCACTTCACACTGCAAAAACACAAAAATAATAAATCATTTTGTTTTTTCTCTAATGCAAATATCTTAGCACACTTGAAATAAGAGAAAATAAGATTACAAGTAACTTCTCAGAAAGATATATTAGCTAATTTAAGTCAATAAGTTAGTATTGATGAAGTACTAGTTCCACTAATGACAATCTTTCTTTATATATATATACTCTAATGGAACTAGTAATTTTTCATCAATATTAGGAAATTATTAACTTAAAATATGCTCCTGTATCTTTTGGAAAGATTTCTTATAAATTAGTTTTGTCTTATTTCAAGTGTACTAAGATACTTTCTCAAGACAAAATTTTGTTTCTGCAGTGTATAGATGAACATTTGTAACCATTCTAGCTGAAAACATCACTTTTCAAGTTTAAAGTTTTATAGTGGAGGAAACTAAAACTGTGAACTCCCTGATGAACAGGCTTCCTTCTCTGGGTTTGTTTGGCAGGAGGTCATGAATGTTGGGTTGACCCACCATCAATGGGAGCAGGAGTCAACTGAGATTCACAAAAGTCACAACAAAACATGTTAAATAATAAAAGAGGGAAGTTGCAGCTTCTCCCAGTATAAAGTAACTATTTCTTTGCTTTTGTGGCCTGTCTAATTTTAACTTTTATTCTTGTATTATTGCTACATGGCTATAGTCAAATATTTAAGTTTTTGCCTTTCATGTATTATATTTTTTCATCTACATAATAAAAGTTTTAACAAGTTTGCAAGCCAACACACCAGCACTAAAAAATGCCAAAAACGAATCAATGAAAATTGAACATTGTTTTTTTTTTTTTTACTTTGCATGTAGGTAAAGCATGATATCACTCAACGTTGAGACATGTTATACCACACAAACCAGATGTACATTTAGGTATTTAAAATGCAAAATGGCTAAACTGGAACAATTATGCGTAGTTCTGGCCGCTAGGTGGCGACAGAGCGACAGCAACATTAAATTGCATCTACAGGTGTTAGTGGGATAATTAAAGCAGTTTGGCTTGGTGGAAAACAACTTAATAAAAACTAGACAAGAACTGGCTGTATAAATTTAAATTGATTCTTAATTTTAATTCTAATTCATGCTTACAACTTCACTTAAAAGTGTTAGGTTCGCGTTCAAAAACAGTTACTGCAGTTTCACAAGGAAAAATATCAAAACATATGAAGTGGTGTTTGATTCAAAGACATCACTCGTTTCTTTTAAATTATATTTTTTTGTTTGTTTTATTAATCAATCTGTGTAAACATACAAAAATTACTCAAGAACAAAAGCAGAAAATTAATTGTTGACTGTCCCGTTTTTGCTGCTAATATACAAACTTCTGCAGATTCACCAAAGGATTAAACAACATGCTGTTGCTGGGGGGAAATCTGCATTCCTCTTTGTGACATTTAATGACAAGGTCCACCAGAAAAAAATTGAATCAGTCATCATTAAAGCTGAGAGAAAAGCTCAGCAGCGTTGTCAACATTTACCGGTTCCTTTGGTGGCTCTTTCGGGCCCTAAAAAACCCAAAACATGTGTGTTATTATCAGAGTCATAGACGTATCTAAAGCATTAAACGTTTTCGTCCTCTACCTGTGTTTGTTTCTTTGTTGGTGGTGCAACACCTTTGGAAATGCTCTTCACATCCCTCTGCACCTCCGTAAATATCTGGTTTAGGTTTTCCACCTTCTCATTTTTCATTGCGTTGATCTGTCCAAACACAACAGCAGCAGGTGTAAACGCCACACTGAACTGGATATATTTAAGATATATGAGGGGACGGATAATGCATGTGCATAATTTAAGGGGGGGAGGGTAAAATCTCACATTTTTTAGCGATGTTGTGACAGGTTTTGCTTTGTTCTTCATCTTCAGATGCCTGTTTGCTACTTGGAAGACACTCTTCTGTTTTTTTCCTTTCTGCTTATTCTTCGCCATGTTACCTGAAGGAAATGGAAAAACAGCAACAGAGAAATATTTAAGACCAAACAGACTATTTCAGAACAAAACTAGTCTCAGTGTGGATAACACATCCTAAAAATTTATTCTCACAGTTTATGTTGTATACACTTGTTTAAAATATGAAAATAGCACATTTAGGTATCTAGATATCATATTATGGCTGATTTCTTGTATTGTTAATTAAGCTATTAGCTTGTTGCTTTAAAACACTAAAATAGGTGTTTAGGTTCTTTCATGGAGTTTTAATAGTTTATAAATGCGATTCTAAAACAATAAACCTTTCACGCAATGTGCTCTTTAGCTAAAATCAAACTCGTTGTTGTCAGCTGTTCACTTTCCACGTTGTAAACAAGTAAACAAATGCGTCGTCACAACGTACATTTTAGCCAAACAGGCTAACAGCCATAGAGAAGCTAAAGGAGCCAAAACTGAAAATCAGAAAATAGAAACACAAAATAAAACTTTACATACCTTTTTCATATGAGGAGCAATGTTTCGGAATTCATGTGCCACAAACGTGCCCTGCCGGTTACGTCACTTGCGTGCGACGACGCGATAAAATGACTGGTACTGTGAAACCCGTCAATGCGGGTGCCATCTTGGTCAGGTGGGTTAAATGGAAGCTTTAATCTAACTTTCATTATATTATATTATATTATATTATATTATATTATATTATATTATATTATATTATATTATATTATATTATATTATATTATATTATATTATATTATGCAATATTAGGCAACAGCAACTCCCGACCCCACGAGGGACAACGGTGAACAAATAATGGATGGATGGATATTATAGCAAACAATATATATTATATTACATGACATGACATTATATTATATCAGAAAAGTGTAAAACACCTTTAGGTTGTAAAACAGTAATGCAAACTTTTAATATCTCAGAGCTCTGTTTCCTTGTAGCTAAGTATGGTCAAATAATCTAGTGTCTGTACATACAAATGCATCCAAAAAGACTTACAGCAGTTGAAAAAAAAAGGAATAAAATCCACTCCATCATTTTAAGATTGCTATTTATAACAACTATTAAAGCAATACTTTGTGTTGGTTTACTACATTAAAAACCCTGTGAAATACATACAATTTTGCTGTTTTGGTCTACTAAAACTCTTGCAGTTCTGCTTTACACCACCAGATGGTGCCATTATACAAATAATTAACCCTTCCCTCCAGTTTGCACGATCTTCACGCAGCACGGCGATGAAACCTCATTATGTCATGCTGCACTGAGCAGTAGTTGCCACTGGGCTGCAAATAATAATCTACAAGGTCTGTGGAAATTCTCAATGAGACTGAATTAATAATTATCTGAAATTATTTCATTGAGATGTCACATTTATTATGTACTTAGTGTTATAAATATATAGAGGTAAAGATGCATGTTTTGATGAGCTCGTGTAATAAATTGTGACTTTATTATTAACTGAAGGTATTAACAGGCTGGGATTGATTATAGATTGCCACAAAAAAATAAGCCATAAACAATCTTCTTCCTTTATAGCATAATTTTTATTTTAGCTTTTGTAATTTGACAATTGCTGGTATAATTGACGTCCGATTTCACCTTGTGCCGCCACCCTGTTCTGCGTCACGTCATTGCGTAAGACTCAGCAAAATCCGTTAGATGAAAACCAAAAGCGCATCAATCTGCATATTTCTCCAGCCTGAATGAGGAATTTGGAGCCTTGGATTGATACGGAGAGTCAATTCAACGCGTCAAACTCCTCCCGCGGTCACTGTACTCGGACATCATGTGGTCACCACCAGCCTGGCAGACGCGCCGCGCACAGGCTATATAAGCTCGGCAGCTGTCAGGTGGAGGACACTGGCAGCTCTGCACTGCATTGCTCTGTTCTGCGCTGGGAGATTACACAGACTCTGCAGAAAAACACATTAGCAATGTCTCACGCTTGGGGATACGGAGCGGATACCGGTGAGGCGCTGTTTGGATGATGCACTTATTAAATTAATATTAGAACCAGTCATAGGAACGGGAAGGGTGCTGAATAAATTAAAGCATAATGCGCATCCTCTGATCTCTGCAGAGATTTTTGTGTCAACAGAATATGACTAATGCGTCTTGGGGAATTTTACGCACAGATTCCTTCCTCAAAATGCATTTTATGCACACAAAGCCTCCTAAAATTAACCTAATTAATTTTGTTTACTATGCGCATGACATCCAGGACCCGACAAATGGGCTGACAGCTTCCCAATCGCGAACGGACCCCGCCAGTCTCCCATCGACATCGTTCCGGGTGAAGCATCGTACGACCCGGCGCTGAAGCCGCTCGTCCTGAAGTACGACCCGTCCACCTGCCTGGAGATCCTCAACAACGGCCATTCCTTCCAAGTGACCTTCCTAGACGACATCGACAGCTCAAGTTAGTGTGTGAATACTGCGTGGATTCTTAAGGGCTATAAATATTCCCCCAGTTAAGATTTCCACGTTCCAGGCTAATTCATGTTAATTTAACTCAACAAAATAATCTTAAGACAAGCAGGTGCAATTTGCATCCAGTTATATAGAAATATATCAAATCAATCCGATGCAAAATGGTCATATTGGCTGCAGATTACGCTGTGCTGTAAGTTTAAGCAAACGGATTTATAATTATTTGTACGTTGATTTTAGACTTTGACCTGAAATGACAAAAAACATTTAGACTTTAATCAAACTACTTTACTACCACCTAGATTATTTATTTTTGTAAAACTAATATTAAAATCGTAATTTGTAAGCCAAACTAAAATCAATTCTGTAAATTAAAATAACATGTCAGAAATTAAGAAAAACTTCAAGTATCACACTTACTCATAACCTTTCTTTCTCTATCTGTATATAGTTGGTATTTATATTTTACTTTCTGTTTATTGTCTTTGAAGCTTCCTGGCCGTAGAGCTTCTCTTACAAATAAGTGAAACAGAAATTATACATTGGAGTTACATGGTTAAGATTAAGAACAAATGATTTCATGATTTTCAGGAGTTCCACCAATTTTGAACAGATTTGACTGGCTAGTTTACAATCCCATAAATATATTTTAAATTAAACCTTGTTGCTTCCATTGAATTGTAAATGAAAAGAAAAGTACAAAAGCATGCAGATCCTGGAAAAGAAAGCCCCTGGTAACCGTTTCCCATGGCAACTTTTAAGCTAGCAGCGAGGTCAATTGTGAAAAAGTTGGGGGTTGGTGGTTTTTCTGCAAGAGGAACACAATCTATGGCTGCTTTGTTTTCTTGGTTTGCAATTTTTCTGAATTAATCTACACATTTAATTGAGATTAGAGTGTAATTTCTGTGTCGTTAACTTGGATTGCTCATCTTCTTCATACTTCTTCCACATGAAGCCTCCATTTGTCTGCAGGATGTGATTATGCATCATATGCACCCTGTGGAAAACATGAAAAATGTCGACTACCTCTATTTGTTTCTTTAACAAAGAGTCACTGCTAAATGTTTTGACCATCTTGATTATTTCCACTGCTTTGTGGTCAGTAAATAGATTATGCAACTTGAGTTGACTCTTAAACAACAGGAACTGAGTCTGTTTCATCAAGAAGGAAGTTTGTATCTCGTCTTATTTAGGTTGTTCTTTATAATCTTTGTTTAAGGATGTATTTCCTTTGCAGTGTGCAACATTCAAACCCTCACTGTGGCTGACTCATGCTGAGTGTAGGCTGAGTTGACGGAGGAGTATTTCCTTTTTTGTCCTCTCTGCAGCTCTGAAAGACGGACCCGTCATATTTAACCACAGACTGAAGCAGTTTCATTTTCACTGGGGGGCTTCGGACGACCATGGGTCTGAACATACTGTGGCCGGGACCAAATACCCAGCTGAAGTAAGAATGCTCTGATATAAAAACATCACATTATGACAGATAAAAGTCAGAATATAAAGGGTGCAGTTCAGGATTCTGTCAAAAACATACCTGGAGAGTTGCTTTGATTCTTTCATGCATGTTTGCAAAATCCTGTAAAGGTGCAGCACATAACTTTTATTTAAAAATAAATGTCACCATGTTGTGACAATATAATGTGTGACAGATAATCTGTGAAAAGATGGAGCTCCTCCACTTCTGTTCCCAACCAAAACCAACCAATCAGAGGCAGGAGGCGGGTCTTATCGCTGTCCATTCTCCTCATGTACTTGCTTCTGCGTGTGCTAATGGCAGAGAAACAGCTGACTGTTCAGGAAAGCATGTTAGCATTCACAATAAGCTATAGTAAAGAGCAGTGATCCAGTAAAGTGATCCGGTGTGTTTAGGAAAGGACTGTTCGTAGTATTTAGATAGAAATGCTCTGTTTTCCAAGACAACTAATGAGATTAACTGTCATTTCCATAAACTCTGGTGCACAGAAACAGCTTAACAGTCGTTATTTAATGTTCTTAAATAAAAACATTGTTGTACTAATTGACTTCCAGCTCCATCTGGTGCACTGGAACACTAAATATGCAAACTTTGGTGAAGCCGCCAGTCAACCTGATGGGCTTGCTGTAGTTGGAGTCTTCCTACAGGTAAACATTAACGGTTGGAGTCATTCAGTGTAACTTCGACACCTCAGAAAAATATACACTGGTATGCTATTATTTTCTGTCTTTCAGATTGGGGAAGAAAATCCTAATCTCCAGAAACTTATTGATGCATTTGACTCAATCAAGACCAAAGTATGTATCTGTAGAACCACTCTTGTTCATCTTCTGAATCAATTAATTCATGAACTTTTTTGTCATGTACGTCAGGGCACCCAATGTTCCTTCGCTGACTTCAACCCTGAGACGTTGCTGCCCGGTTCCCTAGACTACTGGACGTACGAGGGCTCTCTCACCACACCTCCTCTGCTGGAAAGCGTCACTTGGATCGTCTGCAAAGAGCCAATCAGCGTCAGCTCTGAGCAGGTATTTCTAATTAAAGAGCCCATTCTTCCCTGGCTCTGTGAGCAAACCTTCTCCTTTTGTCTGTTGTCCGAATCAAGGGCCTAATTGTTGGAGTTGCTGGCATTCCTGAACCTAAAAGAACAAAACTCTTGTAGGGGGAAGAAATGCAATACAGCGCGTCCCATTTTAGTCTCAAATGAGAAAGATGTGGCACTGCCAAGAGTTCAAATGAGAGTTCACACCGGCGTTACGGCTCACCACAATGTGCGAGTGAATGTGTGGAGAGTCAGCAGGAAATAGTCAACCCACACATGAAAGTCTGAAACTGAAGGGACTTTGATGTATTTAGGGCATGATTCTGCAGCTTTTTCAGTAAATATAATTTGTGTTTATCCAAAAACACCAAACACAGCAGACATTTGACTCAGATTAGTTTGTAGCTCAAGTCTCTTAGCCATGTGAAAACTAACACTGCATGCACAAGTTGCATTTCCTGGAGTAAAGACGCAAAAGGTGCAGCCTAACCTTTCGACTCAGTGCCCTTTCAGACTTGGCCCAACGTTTACAAGCTATCACCTGATTACAAGGGATTGAAACTATCACCTAAATTATTCGCTCAAAGCTGTTTAAAAAAA